GAAAAACCACTCCACTCTCCAAAAGTAATGGTTTAGTGTGCTGTAGGCCACTATGGGATAATTGGTCCGTATTTTTTTGAGGAAAATGGAGTCACAGTGACAGTGAATTCTGCACGCTATGTTCACATGTTGGAACATATCTCAAGCCACAACTTCGGAGGCGAGGAATAAACGTGAAAAATGTTTACTTCCAACAAGATGGGGCCACAGCGCATACTGCCGCTGCATCGATGCGAGTTGTGAAGAAGATGTTCCCTGGCAAGTTGATTTCACGTTTTGGTGACGTGCCGTGGCCGCCGAGGTCACCAGATTTGTCGCCCGGGGGTATTTGAAAGCTCGTGTCTATGTTCACAAACCACAAACATTATTGCAGCTAAAAGATGCTATCACCGAAGAGGTGAATTTGATTGGACAAGACATGTTGATGAGGGTGCGTAATGATTTTCTCCAGATGTTGGAAACCTGTATCCAGGTTAACGGCCATCACATGCATGATATCATCTTAAAGAAATAAACCCAAACTAGGTTAAAAGGTTCCATAAAACATATGTTTTTTGAAATGGTATGTTTTCACCAAAATATATTCAACAATTAAATAATTTTACTATATAAAATAAGGTTGTACTATTCATTTAAAAAACGTCCGGTTCCCGGCAGTCACCCTGTACCAGTGGAGACAACCTCAGTATTTAAGGGCAAATTGTTTGTCAGATCAATCAAGGGCACATCACACCCTTTAACTTCACAAGTATTGACAGGTTTGCTTACATTATTTTCATCAACATTGCTACTTATTGTCATGTCAGTATTGTTAGGAAAAGACCTAGGTGGATGCAAAGGGCTACTAGATGCAGAGGGCTCATCAACTATGATGGTAGATTCATTTTGATTTGTACTATTTGCACTCCTATTTTGAGACTTATTCAATTTTTAATATCTCTAAATGAGAGCTCTATTTCCTTAATAGCCTTTAGAAAATTTTTACTTTTCAGTTTCCCATACCGTGCTTTATTTTCTAAATAAGGACACATATTTATTTCCTAAATAATAGCTGATTCTGATGTGCCATAAAAAATTACTTTATACTTCAAGTTTGCTTCATGAGAATCAATAAAAGCAGGCCAGTGAGAATGACCCCTTACTTTAGCAAACACTTTTTCACCTTGTTTATATTTGGGTTTGCTATTATCAACAGCAGACATCCTGCTATTTTGTTCAAAAGTGACCATCAAAGATAACAGGTGATACACAGGGCAATGATAAGAAATATTGGACTCTCTTATCAGCGGTTCTTGTCAAACATTGGACTGTAACCTCTTATAGTAGTGATGTACTAAACCGATGCATTGGTAACTCTGACAATCAGCTGTCCTAGCATGTCAGCTGTGACGTAGCTCTGTCAAACATGTCAAATCATAATCAACTTCAGGGATAGTGTTCTGCCGGTGGTTGTGTGTAGGATGAAAGTAGTTCCTTATCTCTTAGTTTATAGGGAATAATAAAAGTGATTATTGTAAAGTTTTTAAATACAGTGATTCACTATCCTAACATCTATAACTATATATGTAGGGCTTTTGATTGTGTGGACCATGATGACCTGATAATGAAATTAAGTTTTTACGGTATCAACGGAACTCCACTTTCTTTTTTCAAGTCATACTTAAACAATAGAACACAAAAAGTCAATATTGATGGAGACTGGTCCCAAGAATTAAAAATAAAATATGGCGTGCCTCAGGGGTCTGTTCTAGGTCCTCTGTTATTTTTAATTTGTATTGACGACCTCCCAGCATGTATAACTATTTGTATGCAGATGACACAACATTTTTAAATATTAATCCTGATCTTAAACAACTTCAAGAGTTAGCTCAAAACTCAATTAATGAAGCTTCTATCTGGTTTGAATCTAATGGCTTCCTCTTAAATAAAGATAAAACTCAAAAGTTGTTTTTTGCCTTGGACCGTGTGAATTAAATATGTTGAATGGCTATGTAGACAACATGAAATTTCTTGGTATTTATCTGGATAAAACTCTTTCCTGGGGACCTCATATTGATTACATAAGTTCTAAGCTTTCAAGGGTAATTTGTCTTATGACTAAACTAATACATTGTATAGATCAAAATTATATTAAAACAGCCTACTTTGCTTATTTTAAATCCATTTTTAGATACAATATTATATTTTACGGCAATTGCAGTAGGATAGAGGAAATTCTAGTCTTACAAAAGAAGTTGGTTAGAATTATATCCTATGAACCCCAACAGGAAAACTGTAAACCCCTGTTCATTCAGCTACAAATTCCAACAGTGATTAACATTTATTTATTTGACTCTGTATCATACGTTCTAAAAAATCCCAACTTAATCAAACAAATTTCTCATGTTCATTATACTAGGAATAAAAGCGTTGCTACCATAGATTTTTTCAGACTGTCTAAAACTCTTAAAAGCCATATTGTAATCTCACTAAAAATATACAACAAACTAATACATTTAATACAAAAATATCCTGAAAACACTTTTAAAACAAAATTCTACAGATGGCTTTTGAACAACCCATTCTATTCTCTAAATGAATTTTTGAAATGTCTGGTATTAATTTTTAAGTAGAGTTAAGAGTTTGCGAATTGACCAAATTACTGTTGGACTTTGTTGGTTATGCGGTTTAATCACTTCCATTATTTTCAATGCCACAAATTTTTCTTAAGGATAATATTACCTATTCAATTGTAATATTTAAAATGTGTATTGTAATATGTCTCATTTTATGTAGTTAGCTAAACTTATATTGTATCTTACTGTATTTATTAACTGACTATGCTATAAACCTTAGCAGTTGTATGACTTTGTCAATAATTTGTGAAAATTCTAAGGACAATAAACACATTTCATTTCATTTCGTTATTCAGTTTAGCAGGACCAATTCATATTTATGTGAACCAGGAAAACATGTGTTTAAACCAGTAGTCTGTGAGTCTGATTAAATTTACTCTTTAACTGTTTAAAAATAATTCACTGGCATACTTTTATGCATACATACTGTTCAAGACATACTTCCCGGCACACTACACACAAAAAAACATAGTTTTAGTTTAAAATACACTATTTATTCGTCTTTAAACTGAGACTAAAAATTAGCTTTATAACTTTATGTGGGTGTAGGAATATCAATAGTAGGAATGATACAGGACTACTGTATGAAAAATGACTTAGTCCTAAATGAAAGTAAGACCAAGCAAATTACTTTTGGAAATAAAAAGTCTACAGTGCCTGAAATGCCCAACCTGACAGCAGCTGAAGAAATCAAACATCAAGGTGTCATAATTGATGAAAATTTATCCTGGGATCGTCATGTAGCTTGTCTTTGCCAAAAACTCGGGCCAGCTCGCTTTGCCTTAAAACGAATCAAAGAGACTAGTACCCCTGAGGCAACGAGGACTGCATACCATACATTGTTTGAAAGCCATATACGCTATGGTATTACTGTCTGGGGTGGATCCACTATGGACCTTAACCGGGCCCTGGTTATGCAGAAAAGGGCTATTAGAATAATAGCCGGCATAAGTAAAGAACAAAGCTGTTGTAGAGATGCCTTCAAAAACCTGAACATCCTGACGGTGACTTCCATCTACATCCTAGAAACTGTTTATTACTGAGTAACCAAAGACCCGCCTAAGCAAAGAGATGTACATGAATACAACACCAGATATGCAGGAAACTATGTGCTGCCTGGCCACAGAACAGCAATGTTTGAAAAGAAACCACTGGGTGCAGGAGTGAAGATGCTAAAAAAGCTACCAGACCACTTGAAAATTGGAGGCCCTGTGCTGATGAAGAGGAGGGTAAGGAGATAGCTGCTAGACAAAGCTTTCTACGCCCTAAAGGAGTTCTTTGCATGGCAAGACCACACACAACACTGAAGAAGCTTTTCCATTTCACTTTGATCTATTATACCAATTGTTATTTATTTGAATTTGACGCTGTAACATTTCTTGATGAAATTTAAATAAAGGAATTGTCTATTGTCTATTGTCTATTGTTGGTAACACTTTTTAATGTTATTGATCATCACAGAATCAAATTGTTAGTTGAAACAGCTGTTAAGATTCTTGAATTACATTTAAATATGAGTACTCATAATAAGGTTCACATGGGAAACTCCAGAGCCACTGGAGCGGAGCCGTTTGGACGGATCTGCACCAAACTTCACACAAACCATCCTTGGAAGATGCTTAATAATGCCTGAAAGTTTCATTACAATCTGTTTTCAAAGCGGTTTCAGAGTCCATAGGGTATACACATACATACTTCCTCTTTTATAGATATCCACTGCTTTACAATAAATAATACTAATTCCATAACAGCCTTATGACAATCTTAATATTTTATTAGCTATTATAAAAAGGTATGGTCACTTTTGACAGTCCAAAAACCAACGATAAGTTAAAATATTATGTTTTGAAAACAATTCTCATCATAGTTTTATAATATTATGTATTATTTTTTAATAATGTATTTATTTACAGCTACCCCCCTCCCCACAACTCTATTTTATGTTTCTGTTTTTTTTGCAGCTCTATTATTAGTTACAGTGTGTTTTAAAAATCATAATGTAATAGCATAGATAAAACATACTCCCTTAGTAGATTTCTCATCCTTATAGAACAGCTGAAGACAATTTTATTGTTAGTTCATGTACGGTTTATGTAGGGGTCGTGTTTTGTTTACAATTTGTTTCCCGTTATTACAGCCATTTAAAACCTCGTTTAACCAAATAATACGATCTAATCATAAACAATAACTTGTCCCCTAGTTATATAACCAAACAGTAAAGCACAAGTCAAGAAATTAACCCTAAAATAATGGAATCAAAGTTTCATCGACACTAGCGCCTTTGTGTCACGTACATGAACTAGACACGAAAAACGTGCTTCAAAATTTACAATGGGATGAGAAGTCTACTTGTGTTGGTTAGTCTATGGTAATAGGAAAACTTACCTCAACAAATGCAATCCCAATGCCAACTCCCATAATAATAACAATATTGTCTTTGGTTTTATTTTTCAGTTTCTCATAGCAGCCACTCTAAAAATAAAACTAAATTAATGTACGTATTGAATATAAACAAACTTGTTATTACAACAACACCTTTTATAATGAATAATACAGGGTGAGGCAGTGAGAGCACCCCGATTTTCTTTCGTTGTCACATTACAAGTAAAGCGACAATGAATGAACAGCTGTGCTTATAACATCAATCAAACTATGCAATTTTAGTAAACATTATGCCTGAGGCTTGTAACACTGAGATTTTGATGTAGGAACCTATTTGTAAAATAGTGATTCTTGTGCAAACACCCAGAGATTGTTTGGACCACATCCCATACTTGGTCAATATGGCGCTGTTACAGATTGGAAAACAATAGGGAACTGGGTAAAATTATTTAGGATAACAGCTTAAACCATAAAAATAATCGCTTGGTGCCGCAAAACTCTTTGTACACCAGCAAATGTTGTAAGAGTGTGAGTCGCAGTAACTCAAAGTAGTTTAAGAGGTTTGCCAGAATGCTTTCCTTGTTGGAAGCTTTATGTTGGCTCTCTGCTTTTTTTGGGTTCTCCCTATAAGCTACATGAAATTCAAAGTTGCCCTAAGTATTAGTTCTTGAATTTCCAAGAAACTAAAGTGATTCCTAAAGAAATGTTGGAAGGAGTATTCAATGGCGTTTTCAAGTGACTGAAAAGGAATGTCAAGTAGGACAAGGACGTCACTTAAAGAATTTCGTTTTCAAGAAATGGGAAAAAATGACTTTGTTAAGTTAAAATGGCAAAAGATAAGCTGTGTTTTGATGTGATATTTATATGTATTGGGTAAATAGTATTGCATTTGTACTATTTATAAATTGGGGCGCTTTCATTGCCTTACCCTGTACATTTATTTTTAACTATATATTTTTTAAATCCATTTTGTCTAAACCACTTTTATTTTAATAGTTTTAGATCATTATATTCTTTTATAACTCCTTATATTGACAATGTTATTTGACAATAAAGATTAATTTATTATTATTTTATTTTATCCATTGCAGTTTAGTGCAACAAATCCTTTAGCTATTGAAAATAGTTATTTGTGTAATTAGTGTGTGAAGTGGCTTGAGATGTGAGTGGTTAGGTTTCTTTTACCTGGAAGACCAAGGCTGAATCATCAGAATTTCTACACAGAGCGTTGGGGTCATTCTGTACATTGGCCACACAGCAGGATGCTGGGACATTGCCATCAGCAAACACGGTGGACCACCCTTGAGGTCCGTCCACTCCACAGCACTTGAGCTGCAATCATATAAGGTGATTTTAATTTGTATACTTCTTATTTTTGAAACCTCATAAAAAAATATGGGTTTGTGTTGTTTTCGTTTTTATTAAACTGTACATATAGAATTAAATGTATGTCTGACCTATATGCATTACTAAACCGTCCATATAACCATCATGCATCATGGAACCTTGGGAAACTATTCTATTCAGTCTTTATTAGCGAATTTCCCTATAGGGAATAAGCTATTACCGTAGGTCTCATGGTAAGACTTAGTCCCGGGACCGATTTACTTTTTCATTTTGATGTCCCTAGAAGCCAAAAACACCATCCGTTCAAATTCATATATATATATATATATATATATATATATATATATATATATATATATATATATATATATATATATATACAGGGTGGCTGAAAAGTAACTTGCACCCCCACTTAACTTTTCAACTATTTGAGATATTTGAAATCGGTTTGCGGCAACTTTCTTAGATATGAGGGGCTACAATAATTATGGTCAATTTTGAAAATTTTGCCCTTAGGGGTAGCGGGGGTAGGGGGTAGCTCAAAATTTTCAAATGACAAGTATAGTCGAGTTTGGTATCATTTTACAGGTCTTGACGAAACATAACAATTAACATAAAGAAAATTGAAATCGGACCATTAATAACAAAATGGCAGCTAAAAGTGATTGAGACAATGGTTATTTAAAGTAATTTTGAGCTGCAATTTTGTTATTAATGGTCCGATTTCAATTTTCTTTATTTTAATTGTTATGTTTTGTCAAGACCTACAAAATGATACCAAACTCGACCATAGTTGCTATTTGAAAATTTTGAGCTACCCCCTACCCCCACTACCCCTAAGGGCAAAATTTTCAAAACTGACCATAATTATTGTAGCCCTTCATTTCCAAAGAAGTTGCCGCAAACCGATTTCAAATATCTCAAATAGTTAAAAAGTTAAAGAGGGTGCAAGTTAATTTTTTTGCCACCCTCATGGTTATTTGGATTTGAAACGTTTTAGGGCGCCATTTTGTTATTAGTGAGCCGATTTTGGTTTTCTTTATGTCAATGTTCATGTTTCGTCAAGACCTGTAAAATGATACCATATTTGACTATATTTGTCATTTGAAAATGTTGAGCTACCCCCTACCCCCACTACCCCTAAGGGCAAAATTTTCAAAATTGACCATAAATATTTTGGCCCCTCATATCTAAAAAGGTTGCCGCAAACAGATTTCAAATATCTCAAATGGTTGAAAAGTTAAGGGGGGTGCAAGTTACTTTTCAGCCACCCTGTATATATTTATATATTTAATAAGCAAAATAATAAAAACCAGAGTACCCTGAAATTCATTTTTTATTTAAACTGATACGTATTTCAGCACTAAGGCCATGATCACAGTATGAGCTATATAAAAGTATGTAAACAAATAAAATAAATAAATAGTTAATAGCATATGTTTTGAATTCATATTAAATTTTGATTAAATGGTTAGGTATATTTTTTAACATGTGAATGTGCAAGATTCTTCCCTGATTTGTCTGATTTTTCATGTATTGGATTTTGCTTTTGTTTTTGCATTACATTGAGAATTTGGTCGTGTTCATTTGAATCTATATATATAAAAGGCAAAGCCCTCACTGACTGACTCACTCATCACTAATTCTCCTACTTCCCACTTACCTAGAAGGCTGAAATTTGGTACACTGATTTTTTAGGCATTTAATAGGAAAACTAAGTGGTTTTTATTCTGATCGGACTCTCGGGCTCCGCCCCAGTGGCTCTGGAGTTTCCCATGTTAACCTAATGAGTACTCATATTTAAATGGAATTAATGAATCTTAACAGCTGTTTCAATTAAACAAGTTGGTTCTGTTCTATGATGTTAAATAGCATTAAAGTTACAAGGATTACCAACAGAGTGCAGCACTATTATTTATTTTAATATCTTACAACAGCTAATTTGAAACCAAAAGGTGAGTGAGCGTAGCGAACGAACTTCAATCCGGAGGCGAGTTAGCGTAGCGAACGAGCTAACCTGAAGGCAAGTGAGCGCAGCGAACGAGCTCCTACCGTAGAGGTGAGTGAGTGTAGCGAACGAACTTCAACCGTAAAGGTGAGTGAGCGTAGCGAACGAACTTCAACCAGGACGTGTGAGCGCAGCGAACGAGCTCCAACGTAAAGGTGAGTGAGCGTAGCGAACGAACTTCAACCAGTACGTGATTGAGCCATGCGAACGAGCTCACATATGATGTTAAACGGGGCAAAGCCCGCGGGTACAGCTAGTGTAGGTATATTTGCAGCTCTTCTTTTATATCCATTTTTTCACCCTTTTTCTCATAATTTAGAATTTTGACACATTCTTCTAATTAACCATAATTATGATTATTTTCTAATATGTGTTCTGCATACATTGAGCGTTGGGATGTTTTATTGTTTGATTTTACGGCTTGGGTATGTTCTTTGAATCTGCATGAAAATGCTCTTCCAGTCTGACCAATGTAGAATTTGGGAGAATTTAGACATTTAATTTTATATATTCCAGATTTGTTATATTTGTCAATTGTTTGTGGGTTCTTGTTTGATAGTTTATTAATTAAATTGAATGCGTTGTTTCTAGATCTACAGGGTGTCCCGTAACTCTCTGGACACTTGTATGTAGCGTTATTCCTTAGGTCAAGACAAACACATTTCACCATAGGAACATGGGTCTGTGGTGTCTAGTTTACCGACTGTCGGTATTTATGTGTTTTTTACAAAAAAACTAATAACTCCTAAACGGTTTGAGATACAGCTTTGATATTTTGCAAAAATGTTAATCTTATTAATTAAGACCTATTATCTTTAGAAATTATACTAAAAAATCAGTAACCGTTTCAAAATGGCAGCCATTTAAAATATTTTATGCCAAATTTCACCAAAACCGTTAACTTTACAAAAATATTGCAAGGGACAAAAAAATTTGTAAATTTTATGTAGTTTTCAATGGTACCTTATTTGTTAAGATTGGATAAATAATAACAGAGAAACGTGTTGTTTTCGTAATGTATGACCACTTTTCTCCATTTAAACAATGCTAATACTCCTTTTACGTTGTTTAGCATTGTTTAAATGGAGAAAAGTGGTCGTTCGAAAGGAAATTCGTCCATATAAATACTTTTTGGCAAATCTACACACCCTAAGCTATTCAGTTTTTTCACCTAATATTTTTTCTTTAGACTGTTTAGAATTAATTAGAACAGCTGATGATTTTTAAATGATTCATATTGTACAAATAAACATTATTCCTTTCTTTTCTTCTTGTTAACATGGTTTACTATTTTTTTCTCTCTTAATATTTCATTAATACTCACAAACACTCCACATTAATTAATGGTCCTTCGAGCCGGATATTACTTAAGCGATTTGGAATATTACTCACATCCACTAAACTCTTCTTATATTAATATTTTTTCATTTTACCCATTGTTTTCTGTGCCTCTGAACTCTTACCCATTTGAACTCTTATTTCCACATTGGAACTCTTAACCCACTCATTTACACTTTGTGAATTTTTTACATTTATCTCATCATCTTTGTACAATGGCATCTCCAAATAGTGATTTTAAAATTGAGACTTATACACGACTCACATCTTTTAAATGGATATACGATTTAAAAGATGTGTAAAAGATGTTTACACCAAACAATCTTCTATGTTTTATGTAAAATGCTTTTTCCATTGTATTTTATTATTAAGATTTATGTAATTGACAAGACACCAGTTACTGCTATAAGCACCCAATGTAACGTTATTTGTGTCAATAAATTGATTTGATTTGATTTGATTTATTAAAGTTCGTATGAACTAAATAAAAAACATCATAGATCAACTTGTTGAACAAGAAGAAACATTAACCTTTGTGCAACACAAAGCCTTAAAGACTCTTATGCAAGAAGCCCAGAAGAAGAAAGAAGACTTTGATTCTTATTTTCAGCGAATTGTAAGTACATCAAGTGAAGATGATTTGGATAATGAAACTATAAGTCAAGATGAAGATCAAATCAATGACCTATTCATCCATATTACAAGCTACATAAAATCACTGCTTCCTGAAATTGGCTCTAGCCCGGATTCCCCCAAGGTTGGTTGCAGCCCAGCTCAATCTCAGGTACGTTTACCTAAATTTGAACTTTCAAAATTTGATGGAGATCTAACTAATTGGACATCATTCATAAATTTATATGACACCACTATCCACACCAATGACTCTTTGACTAGTGTAATACAATTTCAATACCTTTTGAGTGTATTGGACAAAGAGCCACTAAATTTGATTCGAAGTCTCCAAATTACTGGACCCAATTATGCAGTACCGTAGCATACAATTTGTTAAGAGAAAGATACCACAATGACAGGCGTCTACAACTTTTACATTTAAATCAACTGCTAGATCTACCTAATATTTCTAACTCAAACATCACTGGTGTGAGAGATTTTGTCAATCATTTCAATGAAATCACTCAATTTTTATCAGCATTGAACTATGATTTCCAAGACTCTAATTTGTTGTTGTCCGTAGTCCTACTGTATTAAGAAAGTTGGATCTTAATCTGCGACACACATTAGAATCAGTTTGTAACAAATTTGATACATCAGATCATTCATTGCCTACTTCAAAACAGATAATTACTTTCCTTAATAATGAATGCACTTATTTTGAGGATGCTATGCTGTCCCAAAACCAGTGGCGGCGATAAGAACCCGCGGGCCCCCCCCCGCAAATTTGATCGCCGGGCCCCCCTCTCCCAATGATCTTTAAAAATATTTTCCCATATGTATTACCGCCTAAACTTGCAATTTTGCAATACACTTTACAAGGCATCTCCCGAGGCGTCCTTATCGTCTTCCATGATCGCGGCAAAATCGTAAATACTTCCCGTAGTCACAAGTCATGGAAGAAACTTTATCATAGTTTACTGTGATTGCAAATGCAACCAAACCTATGGCATCATTAGATAGCATC